AAATGTTGATTTTACTTTTCCACAAAATGAACAAAAACAAATAAGAATAAACAATAATGTTATTCCGCATCACATTTCGGCCAAATTCCTAAGGATAAACCTTGATGTACGACTTAAATGGAAAAAAAACATACAAAAAAGCGTACAGAACTTGACCATAAATTCCAAAAAATGTATTGGCTCCTATAGGAAGAAAATCCAAGTTGTCAGTTCATAACAAACTGCTAATTTATAAAAAAAAATCTGATGTGTCCAACACATGACTTTCCTATCTAGTTATTATAGGCATTTTCCGGTTATTTTGTACAACCTATTGCAGCATCTCTATAAATGTTTAGAGGATAAACTAAATATATACATTTTACACATACATTTACCTCGAAACATTTTTCTATAGATATTCATTGAAAACGAAAATACTGAAAAATTTAAATTTATCACTTTTCCATTACGGTCCATTTTAGAAAAATCATGTATAAACAACTTTTAGTTCAACAATTTTCATAAAAATCAGAATTTTGCACATTTTGTCAAATTTCTCGAATACGGACCATTTCAGGAAATTTTGACATAAAGCAAAAATTATAAATAATAATATTAGAAGTAACTTTTATTTGAAAAATTTTCTTCTCCAAACGTAAATAACAGATATATTCTATAAAATATAAAAATGACCACCAATAAAGTACCCCCCCAGATGTTCCGACTCTGCCCAAAATCTAATCAGCTCATTGGACGCTGAAACAAAGCTTAAGTTTAAAATTTGGTGTTTTTATGTGTATCGGTTCATGAGTTATGCGTTATACAGACACACACACACACACAGACACACACACACACACACAGACACACAGACACACACAGACACACACACACACACACACAGACATCATCGCGAAAATAGTCAAAACGGATTCAGGGGACCTCAAAACGTAAAAATCCGTCGAAAACTCGAAGTCGAAAAAAATCATGATTCCTATACTTTCCTTATATCTGTATACAGATAGGAAAGTAAAAATCTAAGACCAGTCTGAATTTATGGCATACAGGTATGGGGATATATCAGCAAGAGTAGTAATATCATCATGATACAAGTTTTCCAAAATAAAGTCCAAAGATGCATCGTTGAAACCTGAAGATACCAAGAGTTGAAGAAGAAATATGAGGGTCGATTCCACTTACACGTAATTGAAGAAGCGCTGCAATTAATAGACAACTCTACACTCAACAGAAAGCTCAAAAGAAAGAAGCTAATTGAGCTAGTGCAGTGAAGTTAATGATAGTGCTAATATAAAACAGTGTAATAAATCGTCACGCCAACTTGTGATGCATTCCTATAGAAATAAGGCAACCCAATGGGTACTTTTTCGAGAAGTAATTAGTTCATAAGATTTTTAGAATAAAATTGTAGGTTAGTCAATAATGACTAGTAACTATATTCAAACAAAGAAAAAAATTACAAGACACCTCTACTTTTTTTTTCATTTAAACTCGGCATTATTCGATATTTTTAATACTTTGTAGAAATATCTCATTTTTAACCAATTTCAAGTTACATCCTCTTTAAATTGAGGTAGCGATATATATTTTTTAAGAAATCGTCTCTAATTTGTATGAATATAATGCCACATAATAAAAAACCATTCAAGACGGTTTATACTTGTTTGACCATCGTCAAAAAATATTCAAAGCCGGACTTGTTAATATAGGAGTTGTTTTATTCTAGAAAGTAGTAGGTGTGTATATGTCGTAATCTTATATTGAAATTCGTTTTTTCATGAAGATCCTAGTCACATTATGAAGCGTCGACATATTGTGTAAAATCATGAAGCTACGCACAATCTGTCGGGGCTTTTCGTGAAGAGACCACATAATCATGACTAAATTCAAATATCAACACTTTGTAAAGTAACGATTGTGAAACTTGTTTAATTTACCTGGTTTTATTGAAGCTGATAGTCATGCCCGAATAAAAGACCATACAAGATGCAGCAATGCCATAAACAATTGTTTGAGGTTATGTAATAAATTACGCAAAATATACGTAAATTATTTAAGATCGGCCATGGAGCAAAACCGACTAAGTAATCTTGCTTTCATTTCAATAGAACCGGACAAGCTAAAAGAATTAGACACCGAAGATTTAATTAAACAATTTGCAAAAATTAAAGCACGAAAAGCCCAATTCACTTAGCTAAAATATTAATAACAATACCTAATACCTGGATATTGTATTAACCTTTAAAAGGTGACATGTTGCATTATTAAAATAATATATTGTTTTGTTTTTATTTGTCGGTCAGTCGTCCTGTGATATATAAACGAGTATTTTTAATGTTTTAAATGTTTTTTTTTATTTCTTGTGCTTTTGTATTATTATATATATATTACATTTGAAACTAAAATACAAAAATTTTGAGTTGTAATACTGTTAGATTATATTTCTATTTTCTATGTTTTCTATAAGTTTATAATTATGTTATGTAACTCAATGAGAAAATGGCTTGTACTTGTAAAATATAAAAATGAAAGTAAATTTATGAAAATACTTTTTAAAATTATTTTTCAATAGTGGATAATAATACCTAACTTTTATTGTGTTTCAAAATAAAATAAAATTTATGTATCTGATCTTTAAATGACTTTTATTCAAAAGAAATTTATGTCAGATATTTCAAATATTATGTTTCCGAGTAGGAAATTGCAAAATCTTTTAAAATCAAGAAAAAAAAATTGGGGTTACTATTTAAAAAAATTGTCAATGACGTCACTGCCCAAAAACGGGAAGTGGGGGAAAATTGAATTCTATTTAAAAAATTGCGCGTTGAGTAAACAAAATTGACCTCTCTGAGCATTTTTTCGAAAACCAACTACTTCCATTATAATGAATTTATTCCTTTCATTTGAACCATACTGTATATTATTATATAAATTGTATTTCTCGGTATTTTTTAATAAAATAGAAATATGTAGGTAAAGAGTATAGAAATATCAGTTACATTTGCGGCCTACCATCATAAAAAGGCATTAAAAACAAATGGATTTCTTAGTGTATAAATTAGGAAATTTAGTTTTTATTAATATTTGATACACTGGGTCTTGCAAAAAATATTAACAAAATGTTTAAATCAAATAAAGAAAGACGGAAGGGAACATAATAATATTCTGTGTTTTCTTATTCCAGCTTGAAAATGATATGGAAAACTATATGGAGTGGAAGATGGTGGGGGAGAACGTAAATCTTATAAAGGTTATTTTACCTCATATTTTTAAGTGTAAGTAATCAAGTTCCGAGTCTATCAAACCTGAAAGAGGTACTGCAGCGAAAAGACGTCGCGTTGAAATCCTCCAAAATATAGAGTCATCAAATCTCACACAGACTTCAAAATTACTGGAATGGTTGATTGTAGTAAAGGCAGTGGTGCTATTGAAGACGACCCACTCGAGCTCTGATGGCAGACCTACTCTTGTTTCCAACAAACATCAAACAAGACGAAAATTTCAAATAAGAAGAAACTACTTATAACGATCTAAACAAGCCCAAACTGGTAAAACCACAAACAAATCATGTATTGAATTCCAATAAAAAGAGCATCACATCTCCTATCAAATTTAAACAGACACATAGTTTGGAAAATCTTTAATCGCAGTTGCGCTTTCAAAAATGTTACCGATAGGGAATTCAGCCCTTCTGACACAAATTTGGACCATGATAATCAGTACAATGCATGCATGTTAAAGGAAACCTTGATGTCAGTAGACTGAGCTCTCAAACTACTTTTAAATATCCCAAACGATTCATATTTTTGCTTGCAAATTTTGTCAGATAAAATTCTGATTACACATACACATATTCTTATTGTACTTTAAAAATTCGACTCTGTTTGCCAGTAGCATTTTGTAGAACCGGTCATCCGTTCTCCAACACAATCGGCGCTGAGGACCCAGGGCCTAGCTGGGATGGCATCTCGGGCGGTATAAAATAACCCAAGACTTTTAATGCACGGTAATACTAATCCTATCGACTTGAAATAAACGCCATTGTACTTGTAAAAATAAGTTGTATTTATTTTTGTTAAAAAATAATATACTTTTTTTAATTTTCAAAGCCCATTGTGACTGCATCAGAAGATGACAAAACTTTTTACGAAACAATTTAAATAAAAACTAGAATTGACCAATCATACCAGAAAATTAGATTTTGAAAAATGTTACTACGGTCAAAATCATTATCATCTTTCGCGATGGTCAGAAAGTAGGTACTACAGTATGATCAAAATAAACAAAAAGTAACGGTTCAAAATTAACTATGACTAATTACTAGTTAGTACATAAACCACATGTAAATTATTTAATATAGAACCACCCAATGAATCACACTATATCTATATTAGAATCTCTTGTTGATTATAAACATGCACTATTTCTCCAAATTAAAGGACAAACGCATCCGAAATGAAGGAAAAACGACGCCAGCGTCACCTCCCGACGGCGTCCGTCGTCTAATTGCACCGCGCTCTACGCTAAAGAATTCCCTAAATCAAACGGGTCTCATTAGTTAAACACATCGCATATTTGTAAGCCCGTCATTTGATTTATATTGGCCGAACAGCGTATTTATGTGCCACGAAATACGAGAAAATGATTAATTGCCTCTCGACTTTTTTAACGGAACGGTAATTTGGGTGAAAAAAGAACGATTAGGGAACGATCGCTTTCAAGTTTTGTGTTGGCAACGGCATAAAGACGCGAAATGTCGGGTGACTAAGAAAATTTGAACGTTACAAGAGAGTCGAGGCGTGTAATTTTTCAGAATTTAAGGATTTTTGTTGCTGATGGCTATCTATTTTGTTTTTTTTTTAATGTTTTAGTGTTAAATCCGGAGTCACTCTTTGGCGATTGCTGCCTTGTGTCCAGTTGCGTGTTGTTAATATTAAATATTTTTTAAATCAAACAACTTATTTATAATTTTAAAAAACAAATATTTGATTTTTACTCACCTTCTATTTGCTTCATAGGCGTAACATTGGAATTATAGGACCAACTGCCCATTTCCGAAGAATATCCAAAATGTGATTGGTAAGGTACTGCCGATTCCATTTTCGAAAGACACTTATTTTGAACATACACGAATTACCGCAGTATCATATCAAAGCGATCTGTAACAAAGAAATAAAATGTAACTAGATGTTTCAATACATTTTTTTATTTAGATACAGTATAGATATTATTTATTATTGTTGATGATATTACTATTATTCAAACTTGGTATTGTATTAAAGGTGGGAAAAGAAAGAAAACAGGTCCTTTATATCTCCGAAAGAAATTTGTATTTGAACGGCGACCGCATGGGCGAAGTTAAGGGGGGGCTTGGGGGGCTAAGCCCCCCCCAAAAACCAAATTAGCCCCCCCCAAAAATAATTCGAACATTTATCGCACATCCACCCAATGATTTCAGATTTCAGAACAGAAATTAAAAAATAAAAAGAATCGTGCCATTTGATTAATTCTGCAATTTTACATTTAGTTCAGGAGGCAGTGAATTTCTTTCGTATTCATTTTTCCAGTCGGTGTATATGAAAAATAAACTGTTCTCTTAGTGACAAAAAACAAAATTTTTGAGTCTGACACTTATTTTCCCAGTCATAACTATTTTACATTTACTAAACTAGAACATAAAGCTTATAAAAATAGCAGTTTGGATTATCTCAGATAGTGGAAAGTGAGTGTGGCAGAAAATTGAGCATATAAATTGATACAATCATGAACTGTTTATAATAATAAGTCTGGCTGATTTACGAAATTGGCTATTGAGTCTGGTAATATCTTCTAAATGGAAAAAATATAATATTTTTGCCTTTATTTTCCCGGGTTTGAAAATTTGTTACGTGATAGATTAAATTATAATTTGACACCTCCATTTTATAGCCAATCAACTGCTGTTATTTTAAAACACTTTCATGACAACCAGAAAAATTTCCGGAAATTTTTCTTTTGGTGGGTACCCTGAACAATTATACTGAAAATGTTTTTGACAGTTGAGCAGCTCTTTCATGCATATAAAAAATTTGCCATTTCAGTGGTTAATATTTTATTTAATACCAATTATAACTAGTTAGAAATACACTACATTTATTTTATGTAAATTAATAATTAGGTTTTTCGCGTCAACTAAACGACTTCAAATATGACAAATGGTCATGGTATGGCCACAGCATATAAAACATATGTTTTATATTCTGTGGTATGGCTACCTTTGAAAATTTGATTTTAGTCGTTTTAATGCATGTCTGTCAAGTTTTGAAATTTGGATATTTTGGTGTAAAACTTTCTTACCCAATACCAAACGTGCCTAAATTATTATCTGTAAATTTTTGCACACTCACGCATATTTTAAGAATATTATCCATCTATTTAAGATAAATTTCAAAATATTCGTAAGTTAAAATACACGTCTGGCTGATAATTACAATTACGGAGGCCTGCCAGACTCACAAGTAGTGTCCGACCGAAGGTTCGGTTACGGTTTCGGCCAACTTTGGCTTTAAATAATAGTTTCGACTACAGTTTCGGTTTCGGCGGAAAATTGGCCGAAACTGCAGCCGACAGCGAAACTACTTTTAAAAGTTTTCGTATCACAATTGGTTGTGTCCGGCACAATGGCGACTGTGCCGGGTGCCATTCCTACACAGTGCACGTACACACAAACTTCTCTGCTTTGTTTCAAGTGAACATGTCAATAAATTTATTAATATATATAAATATAAATATATAAATAAACAGGTAATAAGTAAATGTAGCTAAAATTTATAATACGAGTTAATTAGTCTAAAACAAGGATTACAATGAGATATTGCAAATTTCAATAAGAGATTGCCTTAAAAGAAAGTTCTTGTTTCTGTTTTGGCCGAAACTAAGAAAGGAGCCGAAATTTGGTTTCTGTTTCGGTTATAAAACCGTATTTCGGTCGGACCTGACAAGCCAGGTAGTTAAACGAGGAGCGGAATAGTAATCGAACGTGTCGAATTTAGCGCGCCTGACGGTCATTAGACGAGTCTGGCAAGGCTTTCGGGGTGTTCCACATTAGCCAGATTGTATTTTAAGCTGTTATCATAATATACATTTTTCTAGTAGGTAGTGAGAACACTTGTAACAGGGATCCTTACTGGACATTGCCAACTAAAATGACACCTTAGTAAACTGAGAGTAGTAGAAGATAGTGCAGATTTTGTGAGGAGGAGGAAAAAATCTTCATTCACATTCTAACTAAATGTGTAGCACTTCAGAATCCAAGGGCACTATACCTAGGAGCATATCAAATAGAAGAGGGAGATTTACCTAGCTTGAAGCCACTGCAAATCCTAGATTTCCTTGAGAAGATATAATTGCAATGATCTTTATTCGCGATTCAAGCTAAGTGATACGCCCTCTGGAGGAAATTTGTAGAAGGTCCCTATAAGTAGGATATCCTTCAGTGTTGCCAGAAGTAGCAAAATTTCGCTACGTCGTCGGATTTTAGCTCTTGAAGAAGTGGATAAGACCTTTTATTTAAGAATCAAAATTTGTGTATAGTAATATGTAATCATACTCTATATTTATTTAAGGACTTTTTTATAAAACCGATATATTATATTAATTTTTTTTTTAATTTCAGTTCATTTATTAATTTTGTTTTAAAATCAGTTCATCATTTGGCAACGAGTTCATTGTTTACATTTTAATTTGTATCAATTACAATTCGAGTTTTTCTTACTTTTTAGCTTTAAATTTGTTTATTTCTTATAGTATGTGATAGTGTTTATGTGTCTATATGGTGTTAATGTCAAAATCAAAACTGAAGTATTCATTATTTTCAAAGTGCAATAATGTAAAATTTAGTTTTTTACCATAAATGGATATCTACAAATTCACAATATTGAAATTTTGCAAAACTTTGTTTAGAATCGATATATGATATTTTATCCATTTTCATAGATTCGCCAGAATTTTTTTACTTAACTTCAGTAGGTATACCTCTAGAACTATTATATATTATATGACTAGGGCTAGGGCTTTAGCCCCCCAGATCTGATGACATAACTTCGCCCATGGGCGACCGGTTTCGAAGTTTGTTCACTTCATCATCAGGCACACATAATGGGTAAGGGAAAAGAGGGAATTGATGAGTTTTAAGTTATTAGCCAAAAATTAAACAACAAATTAACAAAACTAATATACTAATACTACTAATATTTATTTATCCACACTAACAAAAAATTATTAATCAAATTAATGTATTAACTGAATGAAAAACCCGAAAATAAATAAAAGGCAAAAAGAAAACATACATGGAAAAAATTAAAAAATTAAACCACGTGTAGAAAAGATTCTTGGGGAAATTTAGAAAAGACTAATAACGAAAGGGCAATAATAATCAGCGAAATAAGAAATGAAAAATGTAAAATTTCAAATTTTCAAAATTTCTGTCATTTCGTTGTCACAGGGTTACCAACTAAAATTAAAATTAAAAATGTTTCCCCCAGACTAGTAATTTGTTCATGGGTTTACATAAATAAATATTATTTTTTAAACTAAAACTATTAAATTTTTTGTCTCATGTCCCCACATTTTTCAATTTTTTCATTTTTTCGTTTTTTCGTTTTTTCGTTTTTTTAGTCATATTTACATTTTTTTAAAAACTGTTTCTAGTTCCACCTAGTGGAGATTTTTCGTTACTAATTAAAAACATAATTTTTTTAAAACTCATTAAGGGCATTCTTATTTCTAATTTTCATTTTTGTTTGGTAACATGTAACGCAGTGTAACCGACTTGAAGATATATTTTAGTTGAATAGATCAAAAGTTGACAAATTCGTTATTCACATGAACGTCGCTTGTTGATGTGCTGCAATCAACTGATCTATTCGAATATTGGTTGGGACCGATGACAGTTGACGAGCTGGTTACTCTCAAGAACGTCGCATTGTCAAATGCTATAATTAACTGGTGTATTAGGGCCGCCTATTAGAGGGTATTTCTCTGTTTTCAGTGGCCGACGTATTTAAAAATTTTTTAGCTAGGTATGCTGTTTTTTAAATTTTCGGTACGACTTACCGATTTAGCATACCCAGAAAAATTATGTTATTGGATTTAAACGCAAGTTAAATTCACTTTAAATTATTTTTAAATCTTCATATTTTATTACGAACAATTTGATGGGTGGCACAAAATTGATCGAAAAAACATTTGATCGAATATCAATTGATCGAATAGAAAAATAATTGAAAAGAACAATGAATAAAAGGAATAAATATCGAAAAGAAAATTGATCAAGAATAGATTTGACAGAAAAAGCAATTGATCTAGGAACCAAATATACAGAAAACTTAAAAAACTTAATTTACCTAACCTGTGCGAGAACAATGAGATAAATTTAAATAGCTTCAGGCCGGACAGGTTAGGTAAATTGGTTAAGAATTTTTGATTTTCTTATTTTAGTATATATTTTTTGCGAAGCAACCCTCGACGGTTTCAGGCCGCACAGGTTAGAAATATTAATTGAGTTTTTATAAAAAAAAATTAATATACCTAACCTGTCTGAGAGCAATCAGTAAAATTTAAATGGCTCCAGGTCGCACAGGTTAGGTAAATAGTTATTTTCATTTTTCTCATTTTTGTTTTTTTTTATAAAACAACCTTCGATGGCCCCAGGCTATACAGGTTAGGATTATTAGTTGTTTTTTAAATGAGCCAGCTATTGTTTGAGAATATCCTGGATAGCTATTCACTAAGTCATGGGAGCGCTCCCATGGGAGCGCTCCCATGGGAGTGTTCCCATATATTTTGCTCTCTTTCTCTTAGGTGGGTATATCGTGCTTACTCACTTTTAGCCCAGGTACATGCGTAGTTAGGTCGGAGTAAGCACGATATACCCACCTAAGAATAAGAGAGCAAAATATATGGGAACACTCCCATGGGAGCGCTCCCATGACTTAGTGAATAGCTACCCTGGTCGGTGCAAGCAAACTTGTTGCCAAATTTCTACAAAGACACGGCTAACAACTTAAAACCCATCAATTCCCCCCTTTTCTCTTACCCACTAGATGTGCCTGATGATGAAGTGAACAAACTTCGAAACCGGTAGCCGTTCAAATACAAATTTCTTTGTGAACTATAAAGG